CAGATGTAGGTGATGGGGAGGAAGGCAGCAAATCACACTGCCACGTGTGTACCTATGCAACAATTTTGCATGTTCTTCACATGTACCCCAAAACCTAAAATGCAATAAAACAAATAAATGGGAAAAAAAAAAGAAATGAATTAACGGCATTCACAGCAACATGGATGGAGTTAGAAACCATTATTCTATATGAAGTAATTCAGAAATGAAAAACCAAGCATTGTATGTTCTCCCTTTTGAATGGGAGCTAAACTATGAGAATGCAAAGGCATAAAAATGGATTATAGGGACTCTGGGGGAAGGGTGGGGGAGGGGGGATGGATAAAAGACTACACATTGAGTACAGTGTACAGTACTTGGGTGATGGGCACACCAAAATCCCAGAAATTGCCACTAAAGAACTTATCCAGGTAAGCAAACACCACCTGTTCCCCCCAAAACCTATTAAAATAAATGAAAAGTATTTTGAATATTGGAGTGATAGAGCCACAGTCAAAAGAATATCAGCAGCCACAGGAAACTGAAAGAGCCAAGAAAAGAATTATCTCCTAGAGCCTGCCAAAGGAGAAAGCCCTGCTGACACCTTGATTTCAGCCCAGCAATACTGATTTTGGACTTCACAGCTACAGAATTGCAAGAGAATAAAATGTGTGTTGTTTTAATCTACTAAGCTTGTGATAATTTGTTACAGGAAACTAATACCGATGGGAAGAGAATACAAACAATATTCTTAATTGATAGAAACTTACACCAACAACAACCCCCTCCCCACCACACATACCTTAGGCAGGGGCTATATTCAGGGTGTAGTTTAAACAATTCATTTAAACAGTTTGCTTACTCTACTACACATACATTGTCTCATTCATTCAATTATTATCACAATATTTTGAGGGAAGAACTATGATGCCTCTTAAATTGATAAGAAAACCGACATTGAGAAAGTATAAGTCATTTGCCAGAGAGCACGCAGCTGGTAAGTGACAGAACCAGGATTTAAATTTAGAGGAAGAAAGGTCAAAGTATTACATTAATCTGTAAGCATATATTAAGTTAGTATCCTCAAGTAGAAACTTTCCTAAGTTTTATAAAACATCCTGGCCTTTTTGTTTAGTAGCTTTCTTTCATGATTGTTGACATCGCTACTTGTACAGCAGACATAATAGTATTGAAACTTCCAGACTGAAAGCTTGCATCCAATTTTTAAAATGTAAACTCAAAGGATCCCTTAGAAATTAAATTATCTTAGAAGTATGTTCAGGAATGAAATAATTCCATAACAGTAATTATGACACAATGTTGGAACTCAAGCATTGTAAATTCCACTTGTGTGAGGAGTGTTGGAGTGTGGAATTAATATTAAAATAACTTACTATATTACAAAGTAGTTTGTAAGTTATGTAATGTAATATTATAATCCATGCAATAGATTTCTATCCCTTCTTTCTGTCCCTTAAGACTTTTTTTTTTCTTTTGATATCTTCTGTGGGTATGTGTATGGGTAGGAGTAGGATTATAAGTATGTTGTCTCCTAATTAGTATACAATATATTTGACACCTTAGAATAAACCATTTTTTCCTAAGTCCCATCTGGCTTATATGACATATTTGAATATTTTAAACAGGTGAACTATTAATTCTGACTCTATTATTCCTGCTCTGTGATTGACAGTTAGAGAAGGCAGGAGCAATCGCTTCTCTCAAGTCCCTCATTTTATTTCCTAAAGTACTGAAAAAAAGTCAGGGACAATACCATTTTACCTTATCATAATAGGTGAAATAAGGGATTGGATTCTTAAAAGCATTCAGGGAGGAAGTTGAATTTTGAATAATAATTTGAAATTTTGAACTGAGTTTTGAATAATAATGTTAAGAAGTAGAGAAGGAGTAAAGACAATTTCAGACAGAGGGAACAGTTTAGGAAAAGCATGAGGCCTTGTGGGGAAAATATGATCTTTGCTGTGTATAGAAATAGAAGATAGAGACTCCAATGAGAATAAAATGTGGAAGGGAAATGCAGATTTTAATAACATGACATATTTAGAAGTCAGTAAAACATCGTTTCTTTTTTTTTGACTGGGTTACTAGACAGGTTGATGATAGAAATGCTTTAGGTAAAGAATACCTAGATTTCTTCAAGGTGTTTGATAAGGTCCTGGTATAACCTTATCTGGATAACATCAATGCCTAGTAGGTTAATAACTGGAAGACCATTGCCAAAAAGTGGTTATTAATGGATTGGTTAAATCTAAAGTGAGGTCTACTAGAAGGCATAGAGGTCAGACTTATAAAAGACTTGAAAAGAAAGCCAAAAATCAGAATGTAAGAATTATGATTCAACAAGCCACTTTACAGGATGGAACAGATGAAATTTAATAAAATTAAGCAAAGCATGCTACATTTTCCTTGATGTATTCATGTTTTTAAACATTTATAGATCACGTACTATATA